CAATTTGAGACGAAAGAGATAAAGGAGCCTGGAGCAGGCAACCAAGTCATCCCCCCAAGTCTCCAGTTGCCCAAACACTGTTCTGCCTGGAAACCTGTTTGCTGCTGCTTTGTTTCAGGGGCCACCCACCATCAGCAGTTTCACTAAGGATAACAGGTTTGAGGCACCTTCTCTGGGAGGGATGTGTAACAAAAAGGGAACGTTGAGCACAGTGGACATTCACTAGAGAATTGATTAAACATTTCAGTGGATCTGTTTACAGACCTGCTGTTTGCTAGTGGCACACACTTTTCTATTCTTCACTTATGAGTTATTAACAAGCAGGCCTTATCTCAGGCCTACCCGTCCTGATTCTCCCACCCTGTATTTTAGAGGACGTACAGGCCTTTGCTGTGATGATCTCATAGTCATGAAGTATCACTATGAGGGCTTTCTAGTCTGTGTAGCTGATGGATGTGAGTTCCCCTTTTTCTTTGTTCTTTTTTGTTGTTGTTCTCTTTCTTTCTTCTTCCTTCCTTCCTTCCTTCCTTCCTTCCTTCCTTCCTTCCTTCCTTCCTTCCTTCCTTCCTTCCTTCCTTTCTTTCTTTCTTTCTTTCTTTCTTTCTTTCTTTCTTTCTTTCTTTCTTTCTTTCTTTCTTTCTTTCTTTCTTTCTTTCTTTCTTTCTTTCTTTCTTTCGAGTTCCCCCCATTCCTGTGACCTCACCACCTGCCATCAGCCTTTGTTTTTCGTTGACCCTTCTCTTCCTCCCATTCCTTGCCTTCACACATACCATGTACCCTGTGGGTTGCAGTACTTTTCACATAAAGTTAAGGGCAGAATGGCAGGGGTTATCCATTTCCTTTAGTTGTCATTTTGGAGTGAAAAGTTTAGGACCCCGCAGGGAAGAATCCTCCTTACTTCCTCCTCCCCCGGAAAACAAGCCTGACCTCTGGGTAGTGGCTTCCTGAGTTTCTAATTTTGAAGCAAGCTTGCAAAGCTGTCTGAGAGCAGCAGGGACGGCCACTCCCGGGATTGCAGGGTGAGATGGGAACTCTTATCTCTGTTGTTCACGAGATGGTGGCTACTCCAGTGGTGTGGCTCCTGTGAGTGAACTGTACTAGAGGTAGAGAATCTTGTTCATGCACAGGGAGCCCTTGTGCAGACATCATTTTGGGCAACCAATCATTCATCTTTGTCTCAATTCTTCATCTGCAAGACGGATCGCTACTGGAACTGTATTAGGATAAAAGGAGATAAGATATATAGACACTTTGAAAAGACAAAGATATTTTTAAAAGGCAGAATAGTGGCATTATTTTGTAGAGATACTGTGATAAAAATGTGCACTAAAGACTAATAGTCTCAAAATGTATTGTACTATTTAGATTGGATTGCAAATCAAATCTATTTTAGAAAAGTAAAATTTGAACCATTTTTGACGTCTTTATGTTGCATAAATTATTTAAACCCAATAATTATTCAAAAACTGAGCAAATCAAGTTGATTATAAGTCAGATTTGTTTCTTTTACTTTCAAAATAACAGTCAGGCAAATTAAAAGTCACTGTGCAAGAAAAGTGAGTACAAAGAACAATTCTTGCTATGTAGAAAGAATTCTTGTTTAGTTCCAGCCTTTAGAAAGTTATCACTTTTCATTTTCACTGGTGACAATGCAAGAAAACATAGTTTTAAAGAAAAAAAATCAACATAAATATTTTAGAGGAGATGTAGATCTATTTTCATTTCCACAGATGGAAATACTGCAAAGTTGATTATAGCATGTTTATTTCATTCAGAACAATCCTGGTTGAATCTTTCTCTCAACAACAACAAAAAATTGTAATTTATATGTAAGTGTACTTGCATGTCACATTGATGTCCTATGTGCATACATATCAAAATTGATAGATGATATACATAAACTTTCCTACCTTGTTCAAACAATAATCCAATTGTATGTTTGCTTCTTTTGTTGTGATGCAGCAGGAAAATAGAAGATTCGGTCTGGGATTAGGGCTGGAAGATTGATGTAGTCCAGAGAGTTGCCACTCTCTGTATGAAAGGAAGCGGGGGAGGGGCACTGCAGCAAGAGCCATCTTACATCCTCAGGAAAACGAGGGGAAGTGGAAGAAAATCTTGTTTGCCTCAGAAAAGCAAAGCCAGCTCAGGACTCCATTAACTACATTCCTGGGCTGAGATTCAGAAGTATCACATCCCTCATTTCAATCCACCACAACCTTTGCAGAACTGTGATGGAATTTTAAAGCCATGCATGCAATGATGTCAGTATTTCAATGTAGAATTTTACATTTGAGGAAAGACAGAGCACTCTCTCCCTTTCTGTGTTTTTCCATGTACTGGTGTTTTCTACCATCTGCACTGGATTGTGAATAACTTTGAGGCCAGGGAAACCCTCTCCCCGCCCCACTAACAGCTATTATAATTTCTAGTAAGATTTACCACATCACTTTGCTTATTTTGAGGGCTTAATAAATACTTTAAATTAAAACTTAAGAAATGAAATGTATCCCGTTTACATGGTGTTTGTTTACCGAACAAAAAACTATAAACTTATGTTCACAACAGGTCGAATAATACTAACTATAGATCCAAGCAGGCAGAAGCATAGTTACACAACTAGGGGAAAAAATGTAGTGAAAATTAAAAGAAAACAACAACAACAAAAGCACACACCTTTTTACAAAACAAATCCTGCTCTGGGAAATATAGAAGAAAGTGTCTGCATATGGCAGAGATGTGCAGTGTCTCTATTTACCACCTGCTCCCTGATTCTCAGGTCAGTTCTCTGCCTTTCTCTGTCCTGGAGGAATAGAGCATCTATGAATGTTCACGTACAGGTTTCTGTGTGGCCAGAGGTCTCTATTTCTCTGTGAGAAAATGCCCAGGAGTACACTTGCTGGGCTGTGTAGAAATGGCATATTTCGTTTTGTATTAGAGTTCCATTTCAGCCTTGCCCACAGCTCTGTAAATATCCTCTTTATAATCCTTTGAGTAAGCCATCTCTTTCCTGTTGGGACTGATACACTGAAGTTGGAAAGAAAACAGAATGCTGGAAATATAAGCAGTCTCTGCTTCTGTAAAAATTGTCTAGCCAGGGGCTCTTTGTCTATAAATATATATGCCACCATTAAAAAAAAAAACTTAGCAACTGTGAACATAGAACAAGAAAGACAAAGGACAGTTTCTGTCTTTTCCACTTATGATAAAAAATCTAAGCTAACACTATTTTTTTTAAAATACATCAACCAAAGGTTAATTTGGTTATATCCACTCGCTATTTTCTTCCATCTGTCATGTGGATTTTACACAATGAAAAAATAAAATACAAACATAAAAAAACTATAAAACTCAAATTAACAGTAAAAAAAAAAAAAAAAAAAAAAAAAAAGCACCATCCACATACATTTGAACATATGGCATCCGGAGCATATCTGACATTGCCTAGCACAACCACTGAAGTTGTTAGAAAAGGCAGAGAAAAACTCTCATGTCCCAGGTGTGATCCTGTAGCCACGAGATGCTCTGAGCCTCTCCTCTAACCCAAATGCCACGGGTCCTTAATTGTTCACTCACTAATGCATCCTAAAAATATTTGTTGATCACCTACTATGTAAAATGCATTGTACAAGGTTACTTTTCTGTGCTCCAAGTTAATTCTCTGAGGACAAAGTAATTCATCAAAAATAGCTTAGGATACTATCCAAACATTAATAAAGGTGTTAGCAAACTTTAAAATTGGAACGCTGTACTTGAATTTAAATAGCTATGCAATTCATAGTAAAATATTGGAATTAGGCAAGTCTACCCACAAATCAAATCTTGATTTTATAAATGGCACTAAAAACATACTAATTTTCAAAAATTCCTTATTCACTTTGTTGTGCATGGATCATATAAACCTTGATACAAAATTGCTAGATCTTAAAACATTAAAATAATTGCCCTGCAAATACTAAAAAGCGTGCATTAGTTTAATATAAGATGGGAAACTTGGCCAAAACGTAGTGTAGACAAGGAAACAGCTCAAAGATAAAAAGAGATACAGGTACCATTTTTACTCTCCAGAATGCACAGAAGTAGAAAGTGGGCAGGAATTGGAAGACCTCAGGTGAGTTTATCCTCTAGCACCTTCCCACTACCTAGTATCCATCTCTTTCTTCCAAAATAATAATAATAATAATAATAATAATAATAATAATAATAATTAGAGTGACAGAATAATACCTGCCTTCACAAAGTAAATGTAACACTTCACCAGATTGCTGGAATAGTCAAAATGAGAAGCTATATATGAAAACATGGTTAAATATATGCATACATACCTATGTGAACAAATAGCTTGTTTTCATATACTTATTCCTCCTAGATTTCCATTCATTAAAATTTTTGGAAATCTTTTAAATGATATCATGATGAACACTCTCTGTGCCTCATAAAAGAATGACTTTCCTAATGTTTCAGCAGTGTTCCTTTTGAGTAGACCACCTTTCCTTGGTTTAATCACCCACATTATTCATCAGACGGCTTCAAAATTACCTCTGAAGTTTTCAAAAGTTCAGTCAAATCCTCAAAGAAGAGATTTGCCATTACTAAAAATTTTTTAAAGAATTTGTGTTGGGAGCCAGCAGAGTTGAGACAAGCAACTCAGTCTTAAGAAAATAGAATTAAGCTCCTTCTAGCAGAAGTTATGTGGTGCTCTGAGAGTTTGGCCAGAAGATAAGATTAACCTGATGCTTAGCATCTTCCTGCCGCTTAGCAACTTCCCCTTCCTGATCCTCCCCCCCTAGATAGCCCAGCCTTGGAATGTTGCACCTTGGAATGTTACACCGCCCAGGCAGTTAGCCAATCCTGTGTTGCCAGATGCCAAAGACCCCTCTGCATAGGCAACCCTGCCCCCCTTTGTTTCTGCTGTATAAATACAGCCATTTCAAAGAATAAAGTTGAGGCTTGATCAGAACCTTGTCTTGCCTCCATTCTTTCATGTTCCTTGTTTGTTTCATTCTCTTAGGTGGTTCCTGCGTGTCCCCGTTGTTGCCCCGTGGGCCGGGACAAATTTGCCTCATGCTTGTAAGTCAAATTTTTAATTTATTTAGAGTAAACCCCAAGAAAGAAGACACCCACCGAAAAGGTCTCCTGGTGGCTAACTGGGTTCAAATCCCATGTAATAAAAGGTTAATATGCAAATAAACCTAATAGTGTAATGACCAGTTTCTATAATATGATGCATATTGACCACCAAGGGGCAGATGCTCAGCACAAGAACTGCTTACAGTCTGTAGGCCCTTATCGCCCCATGGGGAATAGGGAACTGGGGGTGGTGGTGGTGGGTGGCAGGGCCGGCTGCCAGCTGCTGGGTAAGATGGTCCTGATAGTAGGCTAGGCCTAGGGACCATACCTGTGCATGAATTTCATACACTGAGCCTCTAGTTAAATAAGTAAAAAATCAGCCTAGCAGACATTTCTACACAGGGGCCTCTCACAAACTGTGCTTTAGGGAAAAGCCTACATTGAAATGCCTACCTGTACAGTGCTTCTGCCACCTGAGCCAGCCCTTATATAGGAGTTCCTGGAATTGTATTTCAACCAACAGGACTAAGGTTTTCCACATCTAAATGGAACCACATAGCTCTGACTAACAGAGCAAGTCTGTTCTGACCAATCAGGACAGTGCCTTTTGGATCAAACTGTGAGGATTTGGAGTCTTCATGTGCATGAAGACTTAGACTGAGTTCCCACCTAAGACCAATGAGGGACCAGGAGTGAGGATTTCTGTTTATATAAGCCAATGCCTTTATGGTTTTCAGAGTACATTTTCCCTTCCCACCTAAGTCTGAGTTTCCCTGGCTGAGCTGCAGCCCTGACCAAAGCACAGCAGAGCTGACTAGCGTAGTGCAAAGCAGATTGGCAAGAGCAGAGCAGAGCATACAGAAGCTGAGCAGAACTGTTTAGCCAGAGAGAGACCTGGTCTCTAGGGTTACTTCTCAGCCATGCTGTTTTCACATTACAATTGAGCTGTTTTACACTGAATAAAGTTTCCTTCTTCACTGCCCCCTAAATTAGGAATTTCTGTTGGCATTGAATTAGCACCAATGACCATTCTAAATCTTAAATGTAAAGCTTGATGAATTTTCACAAAATGAACACATTGGTTAATCACATTCCAGGTTAAGAAATAAAACATGTCTACTCACCTATAGCCCTCATGATCTAATCATTTCCCAAAGGCTCTATCTCCTAATACTATCATATTGGGTGTTAGGTTTTGTTTTTTGTATTTTGTTTTTTTGAGTTGCAGTCTGCACCTCATAATTTCATTATCTGTCATGTATTTTCCTCTGTCATTTATTTTTCTCTCTAGGTCCCATCTTAGAATGTTGGGTTTATTTCTCTCTGCTTATCTTCTCTCCAGAATGTTGGCCCTTCAGGTCTTGGAGTTCAATTACTGGTCCTCCATCTGTGAGACTATAGAAAATTCTACTTGAGTTTCTCTGCCTCTTCCTATCTACATTCTTCTAAACTTTCTATAGTCTGAGCTGCTTAGGGAAGATAGATAGTTCAAGAAAAAAAAGACCCCCTGAAATGTGAGGTTTATCTCAATGAGTTTCTCTTCCCTTTGGGGTCTTGCCTTCTTAAGTCTGGTTGCTCTGATAGCTCTCCAAAGTCTTCAAACAGAACCTTAAAAAGTATTTTGTAAAGCTTGCCGAGTTGTTCTTGGAAGACCAGGATATACTATAATCTATCATAGCAAGAGGTATTTATCTTGAGATTTTATGGCAAAGCCAACTGACCTAATAGCCACAGATTCCCTGGGATTTTGCAACAATCCAAAGGCCATGTGACTTTTAGCTTCAGAGCAGAGGCAAGCTGCCATGAAGAAAAACCTGGTCAGCTGTTCTTCCAATTCAGCTACAAGCAAAGCTCAAAGCAAATCAAAGAAGCGTGTCTTGACTATCCCACCTCCTCAGGAAGAGCAGGTGCTTGATAAAGTCTACTCTAAGAAGAATCTCTGATCTATGCACAGAATTGCCAACCTCTGAATTTTTACTTTTTTTTTGTCTGATTGATGTATGAATATTAGAAAACACAAGACAATTTTTCTCATACTTAAAGACAGAAGTGAAGATTGGTGTAATTATTCTATCAACTTGCACAATGTTTGTGCTATTGAAATATCTTAATAATCAAGCTCCTTTTCACTCCCAAACACACACTTAAACACACACACACACACACACACACACACACACCCTCCAAATTTGTATGTATAAATTTAAATGTAAGGTACATCAAGAGAAATGCCACAAACTTCTGTCTCAATTTTAATTGGCCTAGAATACTGCAAGAATCACTTTTTTATTTTCTGAGTTTTTAGGTGTTTTTTTTTTGTGTTTTTTTTTTGTTTGCTTTTGTTAAAGAAAAAATTAATTGTATGACTAAAACACTGTGTGTACACTTAAAAACATAGTTGATTAATTACCATAAAAGGCAGAGTAATAGAATTAGAAAATAAGTTTGCAAAGACAAATATAGTTCACTCATCTCCTTTCAGTTAGGATTTAATTCCTTACTATGTTAAATTAATATATTCTAACTTCTGAACTTTTTATTTCACTAGATTTGTAAGATTAGCCCTAGAATTTTTAGAAAGGAAAGTCACAGTGAAAAGAAAATTTAAAAAACACTATGAATCTTTTAACCATTAATTATACCTTTGAAACAAGTATTACCAATATTTTGGTGTTCACTGTTTATATAGCAACTGTAATGTAATGCATTCTGCTAAAATAATTTGATTCTTCCCTTTTAAAAAACTCATGTCCTATTTTAATTGAGGCATTGGATTTCATTGTTTAAACAACCCTGTAATAAATTTAAAAAAATAATTTGAACTCTTCCCTTCCATTTATGTTTTCCAAATCAGAAATATCCATTATTAAATTAAAAAAAGTGAAGCAGCTATTTCAAAGCAGAAACACATGATAAGTAATTCTGACACATTATTCAAGCAAAATGAATTGCATTTGAGATAATATAATAGATTTTGAAAACACAATTAGAGCCTTTGATATTAATAAGTGCATATTTATCTAAGTTAACATTTGGTAACTATAATCCTTTGTGGATTGGTTGTCAAGAAAACAACTTTCTAGAAGTGGCACCTGTCTCCATATGGCTCTGAGAGGCCGTCTCCAATACTCAACATGCCCTTAAATTTTGCAATAATATGAACTCATGTTTTAATTAGAATTTTAAACGTAACATGACAAGTTTTTTTAAGTTCTCATTCTCTTTGTTCACTTTCCTTTGGTAGTTGTCTAAAGCTATAACCCCGCAGGTTATTTTGCTCAGAAATATTCAAGCCAGGCTGTCAAAAAAATGTTTCCTACAGATTTATAAAAACCATTTCTCAGATGCATAGGAATTCTTATTTGTGGAAAATCTGCATGAATCTAAAATTAAACACAACAACAGCAATTCATGTTGAAAAAGAATTTATAAAGAAGGAAACCATGGCAACAGAATCATTTATTTTTAACTGCAATCCTTATCTCTGCCTTCACCACAAACTAAGCACTCTTAAGCCATAGCCTCTTCAGTGTTGTCTTATTGCCATTGTAATTCTGCAAGAGTAAAAAATAGCAATACGAATTGTCATATTTCTATTACTAAGTACCATGAAAGCCATGGTTTGCTTCATATTTACTCGATCACATTATCCTGCGAATGGCCTGTGAAAAGCTTGTGTCATTATTGAGGGGACGCTCAGGGAGTACCTCCTCCAGGGTCAATGCCACAGCTAATGCCAATGGCACACTCTCTCCTGGGAAGATTGGGGTCCTGATTTAATTACTCTAGTTCTGCATCTCCTCAGAAGCTAGCAGGCCTCTGGGAGCAAGAGGAGATGATACTGCAGCATCTTCCAACATAGCTTCCCGTGGCTACCAGAGACCCTGCCTGTGCATAGAGACCCTGGGCTTCGTGTTTGCTACACCACGGCCTGACTTCACTCACGTCACTGTGCCCGGAGAACTTACACTTACCATGTAGGTGCTTTCCTTAAGCAAATGGTACACTCTTTAGGCAAAAACTATTTTGTTAAAGGGACTTACAAGTGCTTATCAGAAGATTTCATGTGATTGATCACACTGAAGAACATAAACGTATTTCCCTACAAACAATTTCAAAAACAACTCACTTTCAAGACAAGTACATACCTGCACATCTAGTAGCCTCTTTTAACAAATATCAAGCAAAAGAATACGATGTTTAGAATGTGTCTTTCCCATTTCCTTTGCCTGTTTTGATTTCTGTCAGCTCAGATGCGTAAAGAACTTAGGGTACCCAAAGATAAGGATGCATTCCTCACTGATTCAGTTGAGCTATTCATTCCAGAAGAGCCCTATGAGAAATGCAGGCTTTAGCTTTGAAGATCAAAGGCTTGGGTAATAGGAATAGGCACCGGAATATATGTGAAGGCATGAAGGGCATTAACCCAATATGGCAATTGAATCACATGGAAAATTGATCTTATATTTTCTGAAATAAATGGAAAACCTGATGGTTAAAAAGTCTCTGACCCGCTACCTGTGAACCATGCTCAGAGTTAAACAAGAGACTGCTGTTCTAGACTGATTCCACCAAGAGGACAGAGACGTGAACTCCTTATTGGTTCATTCTTCTTCCTTACTTAGCCTACTTGTTTCTGCGGTCCAGTTTCTAGAATTCCCCTATGCCCCTCAGGTTAGCAGGCCAATTTGCCTGATATTGTTTTGCTGGAGCCAAAGGTTACCAGTGTTAAAGAGAAAAATCACAGGCCCCAAATGGAGTCACTTGTGCTAAGGTCCTTGACACCCGAACCTAGACTTACTACCTGACCCAATGGCAGGTTCAGCCCCTCCCAGGAATGCGACCTTATGTCAATCGTCTGGCATTTCCTGACCAACACTAGTGAGCTGGTCTTCCCAGTAAGACCCCTGATGCCCTTCCCCCAAAGAAAGGTGCCTTTGGTTG